TTATATATTTTTTTAAATTATTATTTAAATCTAAAAACACATGCAGTTGGTAAGTAAATGTAAAGTGCAGAAAAAAATAATAATAAGAATAATAACACTTCATTTTGTTTTATAATTTATGTCTCAGGGCTAAATAAATGTTTTAAAAACTGAGAGGATCCAAAAGGCAAAAGACAATATAATATTAAATTTGTGAAAAAAACCTGAAAAATATTAGGACGATATAAGAAAAAACCCCCTTTAAAGTCAAGATGTTACTATATAAATATACAGAGTGGGTCAAAAAGGTGGTCGAAACTTTTATTATGCCGTTCTTCATTTTTGAGCCTGGTTTCTATAATATAAGGAGTTACATTTTTTTATTTTCAATGATTGTAATTGTAATTGTATAAATGTCCTGTTAGCTTAGTTATTTCGCCAAAATTTTGTAAAAACGGCATACCATCAGAGAAAAGGGCTTTCCTGTAACTCATTAATACCCAAATTTTCTCGATGTATGTCTGTGGTCTTTACTGTTAAACTTTACTTCGCCTTACCCAAGACATCTCAAAATACCTTTTATCTAACCAAAAAATCTCCTTCTACTCTCTGCTCCATAAATAAATTAAACCTTTCAAAAACATTTTGTTTGCTCGAAGATGATGTGACCATCTTACGCTCTAATCAGTATTTTTCACATTCGATTAAATTTTCAGGAAAAAATATCCGCTGGCTTGTCAGAAACTTTTATGATCTCCGTTTCCCTTCTTATTGCTTTCTTTTTTTCCGAAACCGCAAGGCCGAGTGAAGATGGGACTTTTCCGGGGATTTAAAGCTTATCGGAAAGATAACAGAGATACAGTATTTTATGATGTGATTGCATCAAACAAATCACGTAGTTTTTCTTTCGCATTACAAAAATAACCGATAAACGATTTTCGCCGTGACTTTGAATCAAAAAGTACACTTCACTTTCGATCTTTCTTTCGGATTAAGCAAGTAAATATGGAAGTTTTTTGTTTTTTTTAGCAATGTCGCAAAGTTTCAGATTTAGGACATAAGAGCTTTTTCGTAATACCATACCTAACAATTTTTTTATGAAGGAGCGTAAAATTAAATTACGACAAATTATCAAAATAATCTTGGGTGGAGATTAAAGTGGAAGTGTCACTCCATAACCTTTTACTGTTGCAGAAATGCCATTGATGCATCTATAGAAGAGCTTCCCTTTCAATCTTTAAAACTTTGGTTTTCTCTCTTGCGAGACCTCTTAGTACTTTTAAAAAAGTATAGATGTCGCAACATCTCAAGTTCACATCAACAAACTGGAATAAATTCAGAATAAGTTTTAAAATTGTTGGAGGTGTAGCTCCTAGAGTGACGCGGATTTCATGTCAAATCGGAACTTGAAAATTTTGGAGAGAAAAAGGAAAAAATAGGGATTTTAAATTGCTGCATAATGTCTTAAACAAGCATGTATCATCTCCAACGTTTCTGGAGGAAAATGGAGAGCCACCAGCACAACTGTTTTCAAGTGTCATTATTTTGCTTTTGCACTACAACCTTAATTTGTATGTGCCGGGAATAACAAGACTGTAGAACTCCACTAATTTGGACTTTTTCTTATGTAATTAATTTATCTATTCCAATATTGCGAAATGATTTTCTTAATATCGAAAATATCGGCTAAATAATTCAGACATAAATAGTCCCTTACTATTGTCAGCCCACTGCCAAATTCAATTCGGCCACATGGTTTGTTGAAATTAATGCAAAAAATGATTTTTTACAAACAGAATCTTAGAAACTGCATTTCGGAGGTGTATTTCAACAAATTTGTTCTCTTAAAATAACCCAAATTATCATCAGTTGTGTTCTTTTTTAAGATTATATATTTGTATCGTATTATTGTTTTATGAAATTATATTCCATTGTATTAACACATTGGAGCAAAATAAAAAACCAACAATAAAACGGAATAATAAATATAAAACAATATAAGTTGTATTAGGGCAAAGCTATTGCATTCAAATTCCCAAACTCGATTAAATAAACTAAAATACGCTAAATTCCATCAACAAAAAACAACGTTTTTCTGTAGAATCTTACAAACTGCATTTTGGAGGTTTGTGTCTATAAATTTGGTCTCCTAAAATCATAGCATACATTATCTAATTCGAGCAAAATAAAAAACGTACAATAAAATGGAAAAATAAATATAAAAAAAATGTTAGTTGACAAAGTCCCCCGTATTGTATTCAACTTCACAAACTCATCTATTAAATAAACTGAAATACCCTAAATTCCAAAACAAAGTTGTTTTTTCGACAATTTGTCTAGCAGTAAATTCGAGTTAGATTTCCTTGTTAAAACGCATTTCATTAATAGAAGGCGCTGAACCTAAGCGAGCTACCAAGCAAAATATCATCAAAATGTCAATAAAGCAGAATTAAAGCCGCCCGCTGAATCGTACAAAGAAACTCAAGATAAAAGGCTTCGGCATCTGGTCAAGTCAGATAAACCTATAGTCGAATTTTCAAGAAAACGCGATTTCTGACACGAAGTAATAGCTTTTCTTAAGCGAACGCGGGCCCTATCTTTTTTCTTAGGTTTCAATTTAGCTGTTGTGTTCTAAGCAAGCGGGTTGTTGAGCGATAAAAAATAAAACTCTCTATTTTGTTCTATTTCTACTGACGAATGCAATAAGGCAGGCCTAATTATACCGAGCGGCCTTTTAAAATTATCGGGAAAAAGTAAATTATACACCCGGTGGATATTAAAAAAAAATTGGAAAACCTAAATATCCCCAAAACTGCCAAATCTGGAACCATAAAATCAATTCTTGATTTTGCGGAATTCAAAAATGATAACAACAATGTTGTCAGATTTGCCACTATTAATTAAAGATTCATCACAAGGTTTAACAAGGTTTACAATACAAAATTTTAGAAGTGAAACCGTGAAAGTTTCCCATAATTATAAATATCAGCGCGAAGTCTGACAACATTGCTGTTAGCATTGAATGTTATCGTTCCAACTTTGAACATTATTGGAGATATTTAAGCGTTCCGTTACTTTTTACTGGAAAAGCGGTGTTACAGTACCTCAAAAATTTATAGAATTTTTTTTTTAATTATCTGACCTTACTAAATTTGATGTGCACAGATCATTGCGACAAAAATAAATAGGTAAGTAGGTCTTTTCAAACACCAAATTTTGCAGTTTTGGAGATATTTAAACGTTCTGGTACTTTTTACCAACCCTGTATATACATTCGTGTACGAACTACATAGTCATAAATCAAACACCATCAAAACCTTAAATTGGTGTATGTAGGAGTTATATGAAAACATATATGCCAATGAAGGACATTTTACAACAAATAAAATACAAAACATATATAAAACAAAACACACGATAAATACGGTAAAAAATATATGATTTCGAACGAAGTACTCACCCTCATACTTAAGTAACAAAGTTTCGTCCAGATTTCAGTATACCCTTTCCGAAATAAAAAAAATAATTTCCCCCATTTTTAAGCAATTTGGACCCTTGACAAATCTTAATAATTTCACCCCTCCAGTTAACAGAAAAAATGTTTGCAGATGGCTAGTGGAAGGGTGTAGAAATTTTTACGCTGGTAGAGGTAGAATATAGAATGTTTGAAAAAGAGGTTTTGAAAAGCTCTTTGTTGATTTCCTATTTCTACGGAATTGAAATTGACAACAATTTACAACTGGTCAAAGTTTAGAATCAAAAGAATGTATAATTTAAAAAAAAAACAAAAACAAAACATGTCCGCAAAATTATATATCTAGAAATAAGAGTTAAGTTTCATGATACTAAGGTTGAGTGAACCACAAAAGTGATAGAGAAAAATGGAAAAAAAATAATAAAGAATCTAAGGATTTAAATGCGAATTAACAATTGACATATTCCACACACTACCCAACATCCGGGAGGTACTGTTTGTATTTTTTTTTAATTGACATTCAACAAAAATTGTCTAGGGACACTGTTGTAGAATCCTTAGATATTATAAGAAAACGATCTTTCATAAACTGAGCTATAATAAGAACGAGGCGATAACTCCGAAATCTTTAGATTCCCTCAACTTATGTGATATTCTACTTACACTATGTATAAATCGTAGGAATGATTTTTGTAACCTCTGAATTCTGTTTTTATCTTTTTTATCCAAACATTTATTAGATTGGATTTTTGTCATATCATTTCACGTTACTGGAACAGCCTGATTTTCCCTTAAATCGAAAAACCAAAGATTTCGTCTTGATTAAAAATGAAGGGAATTTAATTTAAATAACAGAAGAAATCGCAGCAAAGCCATTCTTTGTGCAGGATCCAAGAAAAAGTCCAGTCCAATATGATTTTCGGAAAAAACATTGGTCATCTCCCTTTACAAAATATCAGCTTGATGCTTAGCATCCTGAAACAACGCTTTGGTGTCTATACTGCTGTTATTTTCATTATGCTTCAAATTATTTTATAACCACCGAGCACTAAATATACTTTTAATAAGCTTACATATACGAAAATATCAGACGCGAGCATTTCTATTTGAGAATTGAGAAACCCCGATGTGGTGCATTTAAAAGGACATTTACTAAATCCTTTTCTGGGTAGTTTCATTTGCAACTGCGGCGCCCGACCGATATAAATGTACGTGATCGTTGCGGTATCTGGAATTTCAGGTGTAAATTGCCATTTCTCGGGACATTATTACTCCAGAACTATTGCAATACCGAAATTTATGGAGCTTTGTGGAGAAACACTTTACGGCAGGTAAGCAAACTAAAGCGAGCGGCACATAATATGTTACACGTAAAATGACTATAATAATTTTCATGCGAGATGCTTAAAATTCATTAAACAAATGTGTGTTTGACAATACAGAATTGATAAAATCATTTTAAAGTACTTCCGTAGAGGGACTTTTGGTAGGGAGGCAGAAAGCAATCAACGCTAACGCTAATTATGTGTGTTTTTCTAATTTTTAGAAACGACTGCTCCCGAAAGAAGATATTTTTGGATAGCCTTAGAGAAAACTAACAACGTACGAGTAAGTCGAGAAATTTTGTTAAGACAAAAGGCAGATTTTTTGAAATTTCGTTTTTTGGTTTGTAACCTGATATCCTCATCGTTGAAAGTCGGAAAAACAAAATAAAAACAACAAAACAAAACAAAAAATATATTCAACCGTCAGAATTCCGCTCCATAATATCTGCTGATTAATCTGTAGAAACACACTAATAACACAGAATAACCCTACCTATTCCAACCCACTTATTACGTCAATAAACGAAGCAGTGACTTGCCATAGGCGTGCATAGGGCTTTCATGCGTCATTTAATACAATTTAATAGTATATACATAGGGATTGAGACATTGAAGTACTTCGATTAACCTTCGAATGGCATTCAAGCAAAACAGTTTTAGCTAATATGAACCTTATATTTTTAAACGGGAATTTACATGCAAAAACTACCCAAAATGCTGCATAAAATGTTGAAAATTTGTGAGCAATTTGTTGCTAAACGTTGGCGATTGACCAGTCGAATATTAAGCACTAAGCAAAGTTAATATGGACAACACATTTTCAGAACGATACGCATACAATAATCATAAAATTAGTATGACGTATGAAAGTGACTTTTCCAAGATCCATTTGAATTGTTCCGGACGAAACTATATTCTATTCCATTATATTTACGGCACCCTAGTATTGCTCAGCTGATTAACACATACTTGTTTACTTCACTTCTAAACACAATGTACAGGTGAGTCCACGATGGAGTAAAGTTCATTATCTTATTAGTTTCAAAAGTTATAAGAAAATGGCGAATACAAAAGTTGTAACAATTCTTAGGATGTTCAATTTAAAATTATTTTAAGTATACAGGGTGGGTCAAACTCGAACACCCTATTATAACATTCTGTTTTGAATTGTTTTCAATATACTCCAACTTTTTCATTAATAATAATACATACGAAAACCAAATAGATTTTCCAATACTTCAATTTTTCTAAAAAATACTGTATCGATTTTATTAAATAGCTGACCGTATATATTATCTTTTTTTTTTGAAAGACCTTTCAAAAATCTACAATTTTTATTCAATACGTTATATATCCATTTTTAATACTTTGCGATGTATTCACGCAAAACACTGTCACATATACTCACAAAAAGAAATCTAGTGGTGTTAAGCCAAATAACACAGTAGGTCATCCAATGAACCCATTTCTCTGGGTAATGATTATTATCTTGCTGAGACGACATTTGTTGGATCTCAACCCCATCAACTTAGTTAAGTGGTTCGCGAAAAACGTATGATCCAATAACATTAAAGAGTTTTATTCCATAGCACACATTAAGTGACCAATGTTTTTTTTAGCAATTATATTAAAAACAGATATATAGCATAATTAATAATTATTAGATAAAAGTTGTAGGTTTTGTAAAATCTTTCAGAAAAATAACAACATATCTTCGTTTATTTTGAACACCCTGTAACATTAAATCCAAATTTCGTCGCATATATCTTTTACGTCATGTTCTAATAACGCTAATGTCAAATATGTGAAAAGTAATATTTTTTCAGAAAAAGGATTAGGTATATTACACCTTTTTACTATTTTGTTATAACTTTTGAAACCAAAGAGATAATGAACTCCATCTTTGACTCTGTACAACCTTCGGAAGACTCTGTTCTAGTCTGTCAGCTACCTCGTAACCAGACGAGATAACAGAAATGTCGCATGATCGAGTGGGTCATCCAGCCATTTCTGTGGCTAATAATTACGATCTTGATGAAACCACATTTGTTGGATCTCAACCCTATCAACTTAGTTAAGTGGTACGCGAAAAACATGTAGTCCAATAACATTAAAGAGTTTTATTTCATACCACACATTAAGTGACGAATGGGTTTGGTTTTTCACTTCCCTTACCCAGAACGAATTAACTGGTGAAAATATAATTTACTTTCTCTGTGAATTTAAAATTCGTCGTTATGTTCATCAAAATTTCTGATAATTGTCTGTTGGCGAATAGTTTTGTCATTGCCGACAGTCTTAGACAAAAAGAACGGTAAATATTGGAAAAGTTAAAATAAATAACAATAGTATTAAAAATCGATATATGACATCATTAATAAAACTTGTAAATTTTTGTAAGGTCTATAAAATTTACAAGAAAAATAATATATATTGGTTTATTTTGAACACCCTGTAGCATAAGTATGAAAAGTAATAGTCTTTTAGAAAAGGGATAAGGTATTTCTTATTACTAATAAAAAAAGATTCACGCCTTTTTGAGCCGCCGTGTATACATTAACATAAGCTTAAATTGTGCATCTTAAAAATCTTTGCAACTTTTGCATTTACTATCTTCTCTTTTGAACCCAATGAGAGAATCAACCCTATCTTTGACTTTGTGCAACCTACGGAAGACTCCGGTCCAGTCCGTCAACATTCCGCCAGTCTTGTCAGTCAGTCTCGGCAGTCACGAAGCAATCCCGAGTCCACCTTCACCGCGACTTAGGACCCTCTGTTGAGTTTCTCGTGAGCACACAAAAATATCACATAATTATCAGCTTAAAGTAGTCTCTGGGCATCTACGCCAGATATCCAGAGGCACAGATTTGCTCTACCCTAAGAGTGAGTACTTTCTCCGGTACAAAGCAAATTCGTCTTAAAATCTTGAAATGCATTGACCGTCCCGTCTTTTCATAATAGATATTAAACACAAGTTTTTTTTATGAAACAGTGCCAACCGGTATCAGTATACCAACAGTTATCCGACAAAGAGCGAGACTACGTGATAAGGCGATCCTCGAAAATAACTATACGTACTAATCCAAATTATCACGTCCCTCCTATTAATGTTTGGAAGCGAAGGGACAACGGCTCGCCTGGGGGCTTATGAAGCTCTCTCCACGCTTTCCATATTGCATGTTCCGGTAATATTAAAATTCCATTTGCATGCGAACGAAAGGAAGGGTCAGTTACAAGGATTTAGTATTTAATTCTCGAACGTAAACCCTTATTAAAATGGCAAAATTTAAGATCCCTCGCTAAAATATTATTATTAAACGTGGGGTTTCAGGTTTGTATTCTACTTGTATAACCACTAGAGATACCCGATATCAACCATAGCTAGAGCTAGATCATTTTAATTTCTAGAGTATTTATGGTAGCAAAACGAGATTTCGGTGGATAAATGGTATATAATCCAATTCTGGTTTCGCTTCATATGTCCAGAGGCCCAAATCCGATTGCCACTAACCTGTGGGAGAATACTGAAGTGGCTAGCGACAGTGTTTAATAAAGCTGAAAAGTAATAAACGATCAATAGTTATTTGGAGTAAGTAGTAGAAAAATGCCCTTTTAATATTTGGTGCTTTTTTGATTAATTGATCAAAATTAACAAAAACCAAAAACCGTCTACGGATTTCATAAAATAAAATCAAATAAAACCCTTTTAAAATAGTCTCGAAGTGACCAATTTTAATAGAAACAATCACAAACTTTCGCTATTAACTTATTTTGCGAGTCGCGTTCAAAAGAGAACTAAAATATTCAGCATAAACGAAACATCAATATCGAAAAGCAGCGTTTTGCGCATAAATTTTGTCCTCGAAGGTAAATCCTTTATTCCCGTTTATATATAAATGATGAGTTATCAAAATGACTGACTGAATGAACCGGATTTTAATACAGCCGTTCGGAACTGAACCGAATGTTGTATTAAAATGGAAGTTTGCCAAATTGAAAGGTACCGCAACATTCTAGAGGCAAAGAATATTTCTTCTACTCAGCAACGACGAATTGAGAGATAGTTCGGATTTTTTCTTCGTTCTGGATGTTGGCAACTAAATAATTGTGTGGTGGTCATTGATAGCAGAAGATAAAACATACTCCTGTTCTCTATGTTCGCTTACGCAATATTAACACAAGTTGACTGCTTCGTCAGACCCAAACTTCTTCCTTACGAGTCGTTAATTTCATTTTTGTGTATGAGAATCGTACCTTCACTGTCAGCATGTTTATTATGCTTGGTTTAAATTGCCTAGTCATTCCGCTAATCGCTAATTATTCTTTGCTTCTCTCTTGTTCATTAGTATTGACTTTAGAAAAATTTCATATTCCTCTTTTTCTTGTCTTTTTTTTAATTGTGTCAGGTTTCAATCTCTGGTCAATCTCTCTTCCTCTACCGATGTTAACTAATTAAACTCAATTTTAACTTTTTATTACCATACATCGGGTGCCCGACTTTGACATGAAAAGAAAGAATTTCCTAAAATCGAATTAGCGTATCCGATTTGATTTTTACGAGCACCAGGTGTTACGCGTTTCTTCCCGGTCCCAAGTTTTGCATTTTCTGCGTCGATACACAAGCGCAAATTTTTGATTTATCTTGTAAAACATTCGGGTTTTATAACCTCGGTTCACTGGCGTTTTCTTTTGCGAATAATACAGTGGCCTTCATATCGTCATATTTTCTGAATATTTTAAACCGGCTTCTAACTTATCGTCCAAAAATCCTCGGCTATGAAGAAAATAAAAAGGCATCAAAATCTATTTCGCAAAAAGTGGTTTCATGGTTATTTCCCGAATAACATTGTTGAAACAGCTTGATTCGTATGCTAAGAATCTTCATTAAACTAAACTACTTAAAAGTTAAATTTTTTATTCATTGCTTAAAACAAAAAGTACATAGAAAAGTTTAAAAAATATATTGAAGAGTTCCTTATTATCACAAGAGTTTATAGTTTTGGCACTTTTCGCCCACTCTTGAGACTCAAAGTCCTTTATACTTCTCATTATAAACATCATATTTCCTTTCGTAAGTGACTTGTTTGGCACGAGCTAATGGGTTGTTTACACTTAGTCTGTGGTTTAAGCATCATCTTACAAACACACCAAACTTAAATACAAACTTTCAGATTATGAAAATCATGCTGCAGCACAATTGGCATTTGATAAAGCGACATTAAATTTAAAAAACGACATTTGAAATAAATTTTAGCAAAATGAGGCTGCAACATCCATTAAAAA